GACCGGAAATTAACATTTTTAATTAATTAATGAGTTATTTGCAAAAAACACTTGCACTTTCCGCACTATGTTTTGATGAATTTCACGCAAATGAATGGAATAAATGAACTTAATTGAACACGTATTTATTAGTTTTTATACATTTGTGATGTTTTAAGTGTACACTTTCGCGAAATTCTGTATTTAATAGCAATATTCCGATGGTGAAAATCCGCACAACAATGTTGTGCAGTTAATATAAATAAGATGGAGGAAAACTAGTGCTGCCACTCTATTAATACAATTTGTATTTCAAATTTAAAAACACCCAAATAATGCACAAGAAATATACTTTTGTGAAAAGGGGATTTCTGTTCCTTTTGTTCACAAGCAGAAAGGAGAATTCTATGTTGTGAGAGTTATAATCCCTAAGCGCGGCCGAAGGCCGCCTACGCAGAAAGGTGTTCTCTGCAAAAGGTGTTCTGCCCCTTTTCTTTGGCAACACAGAAAGGAGAATTCTACGTTGTGAGGGTTATAATCCCTAAGCGCGGCCGAAGGCCGCCTACTCAAAAAGAAGTTGGACGGACAAAAACTTTTTTAATACAGTGGCAGCAGCAATTTAGTTCCATTTTATTTTTAATAGAGTGGCAACACTAATTTCCCTCCATGTTGTTTATATTAACTACGCAACATTGACGTGCGGATTTTCACCATCGGAATATTCCTATTAAATACAGAATTTCGCGAAAGTTTACACTTAAAACATCACATATGAATAACAACTAATAAATACGTGATAAATTAAGTTCATTTATTCCATTCATTTGCGTGAAATTCATTTAAACATAGTGCGGAAAGTGCAAGTGTTTTTTGCAAATAACTCTTTAATAAATTAAAAATGTTAATTTCCGGTCTCGGATTGTTATTATTGGCGTCAAGACGCGTCGAGTGATACCACGCTCGAACTTTTTCCGTCCAATTGAACTTCCTTTTCTAAAGCGCACTTTTACCCAATTTTTTTTAAATACGACCAAACAGCACTCCGCACCCTTGTTAGAAGAGCAGTTTTTATATGCAAATAAATTAAAAAAAGTTGAGAGTCGAAAGTGAAANTTTTGACCTACCTTCTCTAAAGCGCACTTTTACCCAATTTTTTTTAAATACGACCAAACAGCACTCCGCACCCTTGTTAGAAGATCAGTTTTTATATGCAAATAAATTAAAAAAAGTTGAGAGTCGAAAGTGAAAAGTCGACTTCAGGCGACTTCCATAAACTGAAAGACGATTACTAAAATTCGTCTTTCAGGAGTAATAATTCGATTTTGGTCGAAAGTCGAAGTCGACTTTGCCATCTCTAGTTTGAGATTTCTATTTTCAAGATAAATTAGTGTTGAATAACACAGTATATATTGAATAATAAACTTGCAGGTAACAAAATGCGATTTTCTCAGAAACTGTATGCACAGCATTTAGGGTGGACTTTCAAGAAACATTGGAGTACACAGTGCAAAAAAGTACCGCGGGATACCGGAGCTGCTACCGATTTAAAGAAAATTGGATTTTTCATTAAGGACGATTATTGGATATCGGGCCTTAAAACACATTTTAGCCAGGAAAAGTACTGAAATAATTATCACTAATGATTGCAACCAGATTTAAATTTTAAACGAACTTAGGTTGAAAGGTGGTACACCAAAATCGCCACAAGAAAGTGGGACAATGCCCGATTGGCAGTTAAAACCATGTCATGTGTTTAGTAACAAAAATGTTATGCTTGAAGGCATAGAGCAAGCGCAGTTGCTTACAAAGTCCATTAAAATTTCTGGTTTACCACAAAGCATTCAGGATACTATCAAAGATGTAACACTGACTGGAACATTAGAACGCAGTGTAAAAGAAGCAATTTTGTCTTCCCATCTCTTCTGTGCCCATCAAGAGAAATTAAGCAAAGAAGGGATCCAATTAAGGCCAGAATATAATTTACCCCGAGAGTATGGTTCACCTAAAGAGCGCAAAATGTGATTGGAGTATTTTTTTGTTTTGGTTTTTTTTAGAAATGTGTTGATAAATTATAATTCTAGTTCGATACTGGTGAACAAACTTCTGTCAGAGTGCGACAAATATGGAGGCCGGATTGTGAGTTCACAACGTCGTTTGATTGATCAAGTATACTTCAGAGTAACTGTGCCAAAAAATGATGACTTATTGCAATTTTCAGTAAATGCACAAAAGGTAATTACGTCACAGCGACCTATTGAGGCCGTAAAAGAAAAACATGATTCTCAACTGCCGGATATGCATCCTATTAATTGTACTATATCTATGCCAAAGCAACATATTTACCATCTTGAAACAGTATATCGTAAGCTATTTGGTCATTCTATATCGTACCTTTGCTGCAGGAGAGACCTTTAGTTTTAAAGTTTATAGTTGTCATATGCTCCCATAGTAAAAATGAAAATGAGGCATTCCTCACTCTATTTCAATTGGTGGGAAAATTTTAGTTTGGCTTCCCCCGGCTACCAAATTTAGGGGGTAATGGGGTATAGTAGGGGGATTTCTCCTGATTGCAAATATATAGTTTTTAGCTGCCGGAGCATTATACACACCTATGCTGTAATCCGAATGTTCGTAGCTACGAATTCATAGCTCCGTTCCGAAAATTCCAAAATTGATGTGCTGTAATCCGATCGTAACTATCAGCGGCGCTGCCAGCTAAAATTGTGAAATTGGACGTTCTTAATCAGCTGCTTTGACTGAAACCAATCAAAATAAATATAATCGCAAGTGAACAGTGAAATTAAAAAAAAAAATAGTTTAATCATTATTTGAAAAGACTTTTGGGAAATGTTTAGTTATTGGCCCATCGTTTTTGGGGTGGGGGCGGAGGGGGAGGGGCGTGCCCCCAAACCCCCTCATTCGAAAGGGGGCAGTCGCCACTTTACGAAAAGCCCCCCCCCATTGGGGACCTCCCGCAGACCCCTAGGGAACCGTTTGAAAATGGGAAAAACGGCATTTTCCGAGGAAACTGAGCAGTTTAAAGCGGCATTACGAATTTCGAAGATGGCCTACGAATTTCGAAAGTACGATACGACAACGCGGATTACAGCATACCAATATTACGATTCGTAGCAAAATCGAATCTACGACGGATTACAGCATAGGGGTGATAGTTTTTATGTTATTTGTTGTATTCAACTATTTTTATTGAGCTTGAGGCCATTTTTTAATGAAAACCTATTATGGAACAGAAACAATAATTTGAAGAAATGGTAGAAGTGATAGCTATTTCGGAAATCCCCACATTTCCTCATCAGACTTCTTTGAGTAGGATTCGAACCGACGATCCCACTGACTCAGCCAGTTGCCTACGCACTGTGCTAAGTTCGCCTTGTTAATTCTTGTTGCTTATTTCCACTATTTTCACTTGTTAAGCCAACTACAATCAAGCGCAGCTTTTCCGTTGCGACGCACTTGATCATGTGGTTGTTGGTTTTGTTGATTTTTTGTTAATATTTCTATTATTAGAATTCTTAACTTTTAGGTGTGCTCGTCCTTAAGTTATTTGTTTTTGTTCTTTTATGGCCTTATAACAATTATGTTCAACAATTTTTATTGAGCTTGAGGCCGTTTTTTAATGAAAACTTATTGTGGAAAAGCAACAATAATTTGAAAAAANACCGACGATCCCACTGACTCGGCCAGTTGCCTACGCACTGTGCTAAGTTCGCCTTGTTAATTCTTGTTGCTTTACCCACTATTTCACTTGTTAAGCCAAGTCCAATCAAGCTCAGCTATTCCGCTGCAGTTTTCTAGATCATGTGGTTGTTGGTTTTGTTGGTTTTTCTTATTCAGCCTCATTGCGAGAGTCGTGCCGAATGCAAGTCGTTTTTCGAGAGTCGAATCGTATCGAAAATTTAGCGTCATTGCCTAAAATTTCCACTCGACTAGTGTATTAAAACGGAAGAACTTGGCAGCACTGCATATTTTTCGACAATTTTCGTCGTTTACTTATTTCAGCACGACAGTAGACAATGCTAATGTTGTCGAGTCGTACAATTCAGCCTAATTTACGACTAACGCAATGAGGCTGAATATTTCTATTATTAGAATGTTTAACTTTTAGGTGTGCTCATCTTTAAGTTATTTGTTGTTAAAGTTTGTAAATTGAACTAAGCTTCAGGCGCTATTTCACACAATAAACATATATACGTACACACTTCGGCAAAATATGAGCAATAAAATCCCGGGGAAAGTTTTAGTAGACGAACGGCAAATTCTAGAAAAAGGGGCGATGAGGAGGGGTAGAATAGGACCCCCTGATTTCAAAAAAACCCCCCTTTTTTCCAGCAACTCTATAGTTCTTATATAATTTGTTGTTAAAATTTTCCTATAAACGAGGAATAAGATGCCCGGCAGGATATCACCCTGATATAGGTGCGCTCCTCAGAGGTGAAAACCGTATGGTAGTAGGTGACTTTAATGCGCACCACGATCTTTGGCACTCAAGCCTGTCAAACGATCGTAGGGGAACAGACTTGGCTGAGCAGATAGACGATTCGACATTCTGCACAATGAACGACGACGCACCCACCAGGATTATGGGTAACTGCAGTAGCTCGCCAGACATCACAATAGTCAGCGCTGGTCTGATAAACAGCATAACGTGGCGACCTATGCTGACTCTAGCATCAGACCA